GTAGTAACCAGGACACCGCATTGGAACATTCCCGATTATTTTCCATGGGGATTCCCTTTGGCATATCTCTACCTAAATCGATTCTCCGAACTTATGGTGCATAAACCCGGTGAAGGCCTTCTTCTAAGTCTCCTCGCCACAACTCTTTCACCTATGGTAATTATTTTCTTCCTGACTAATTTGACTCATAAAAAAACTGAACTATGTGCAGCAATGATTAGTCATACTTTCTCATTGAAACTAACAAATGTATCTAAAAGCAAAGCCAAATACTTTGAGGTTGACTAGAGGTTTCTTTATCTGAGATGAACATATTAGGAAACAAGTACTTTTCATTTCTGGCCGTGGACTGTACATCTCGCTCAAAACTTCAGCATTGTAGAGAAACCGGGCTAAATATACTCTAAGTTATATACCTGAATTTCAATAACCAAAGACTGAGAATCTGAGTAGCTTTCTAAATTGGAAAGATCTTGAATTTGGAGATGAAAAGTTATTCCACCAACTGTTATGGAAAAAGGAAAAAAGCAAAGACTCTTTACATGACACCACTAGGGAATCCAAAAGGATAAAACAAGTAAATAAGCGGAGTTTAACTGGATAGTTACAAATTTAAGGTTATATGTCAGCTATTTAGATCATAAGAATCAAAATACATGACTGTTACGTAACACAGATACATGCAAGTGTGCAAGTTAAGTGAAGAAATAAGAAAAATAAATACAATTGCTGCTGAAGCAACAACGGAGCAGTATGTGTCGACAAAGTTAACTACTATTCCTTCTCAAAATATCAGAATCCATCCCAAAGTTACTAGAAATCTGTCTTAAAGTTACTACTTATATGCTCGAAGTTACAACAATGTGATTTCTATTCTTCCTTTCACAAAACTAACATGCAGTACTAATCGAAATCTATCATATTTTACAGAGGTGGGCCTTCTCAAAATTTGTAGAAAGTCATATACAACACAAACTCGGGATTGCAAAACATGGAATAGTGCCAGAGCATAGTTTCTTAAATGAATTGAGTTCATGTTTAATTTCTTTAGTGCCTGAGGGCTTCTACGATAGAGTTGGGGAAGGAAGTATCAAGCTGAAGAAAGCAAAGAGCTTTGGATTCTCGAAAGAAGGTATCGTTCTCGAGGGTCAGGCTGAACCAATAAAATCCGACTTAGTCATACTCGCTACTGGCTTCAAGGGAATTGATAAGCTCAAACACATTTTTGAATCACCAAGATTTCAGGACTTCATTGCAGGCACAGATGATTCTGCAGTTCCTCTCTATAGGTGAGTATTAAAAGCCTTGTGCAGTGGTGGGAATTCTTTTGCATACATTCATCATATTCATCCAAATGTATATAACCTCATCTCATGTGAAAGTAATGTCATTCCGGATGATTTCAGGGAATGCATTCATCCCCGAATTCCACAACTGGCAATAATTGGATTCTCAGAAAGCATAGCAAATCTATACACCTCGGAAATAAGATGCCGATGGCTGGCAGAACTTCTGGATGGAAAATTTAAGCTACCTAGCATTAAGGTCATGGAAGAAGACATAGCAGAATGGGATACATACAAGAAGAGATATTCATATTTGAAGAACTACAGGAGATCATGCATCGGTGCATTGCATATTTGGTACAACGACCAACTGTGCAAGGACATGGGATGGAATCCTAAAAGGAAAAAGGGTCTTTTGGCTGAGTGGTTCGATCCTTATGGACCAATGGATTACACCGGCTAACGAGTATGAGAGTATCATCAGGTCCTCTTCTGACAGCTTCAGAGAGGTCTCCTTTTCTTTGTTCTCGCTTGTACTCAAAATACTATTGTATGTTTCGTATTTTCCTTCGTGTTGATGGCCGGGTGCCTTAGCTTGTCACTCTTTTATCATAGCATTCGCACAATAAGCTTGTGATCCACCTGTGGAAGCCCTGATTTATACTAGCTTGACGTTCATGCTGGCTCAGCTTTATGAATCTCTACTGAATGACAAGCAGTTTGTGTAGATTCAATGGCACAAGAATATCAGATGGATCTACGAAACGGTGTGTTGTATTCTTGTTCATTAACCTTGAACAATAAGGCTAGCATTTTAAATTTGCTATACTTTTTGTTCCGAAAAGTGTCTTCCTTCCATTTCTGGTCAATCTAAACAGTGTTCATTTGGTTGGAAAAGGGAAGTGTTCATTTTCCTTGAGACATCCAGTACAATGAACCAAGGGAAAAAAGTATGCCAGATCCTCTTTCTCAGTACATCTTTTCCACTATTCTGTTCTCTAGAAACTGTAGTCAATGTATCATTGCAAATGCTCCCAAGCACAATTACTGCTGACAATTTACATTTCTAGCTCGTCTAAGAGATTGGCCAAACTGCCAAAAAATGCTTCTTTTGCAATTCACTTTTACCAAAATGGATTTTCAAAATAGTAAATTTTGGAGCGTAACAGTTTGTGTTTGGCCAATCCCTTTGAGAATTGTTTTTTACATTATTTGAGAAGCAAAACCAATCTTTATAAAAAGTGCTTTTGAGTATTAAATTACTATCAAGGTTCAGTTTACTATTATTTAATTAAGTTTTTATTTCTATTTAATTAAAATATAAAATATAAACTAATAATAAAAATTAAATATTTTAATCAATATAAAATATGGTTATACCAAATTAATAATATTTCACATCTGGTATATTACAAAAGAAACAAAAAGAATCATACCTTATGAAAAAAGTGTTTAAATGTGGTGATTAGCTTAGTTATTTCAAAAAAGGAATGGGAGTAGAAATAGGAGAGGATGAAAAGGAAAAAGACAGGAAAAAAAATCTAGGCCAAATACATAGGCATCCCATTAAACTTGGCTTAATTTTTCATTTTGGCACTCTAATCCAATCTTGTTTCATTTTGGCCCTCTAACCTCATTTCTTATGTTTCACTTTAACACAAAAGCTGACTAGATTCAGAGTGTGAGTTGTCTCACCCTGTAGGCGCGTGAGGGAGATTTTTTTGGGCAAATTTCCTTCTCCAACCCATTGAACTTGGCTCCATTTTTTCATTTTGACACTCTATCTCAACCTTGTTTCATTTTGGCCCTCCAACTCTATTTCTTATGTTTCATTTTAACACGAAAGCTGACTAGTCACATAGTGTGAATTGGCTCACATGATAAGTGCGTGAGACAGATTGTTTATTGCAAAATTCCTTCCCAACAGTAATAAAATAATTGTTGGCCCCATTTTTAATCTCCTAACTTCCTTCCCCCATATTTCAACTTCATTATTTCCTTCCTCATTTACTGTTTATATAAAAACCAACCGATTTCAGTCGGTTTCTTAAAAAATAAATTTTGCGGGACACTAAAAGAGTTTCCTATATTTTTGCGCAAAAGAAAAAACGACCGAAGTTGGTCGATTTCGTAAAAAAAATTAAAAAATAAAATATTTTGAAATAAATTTTATATTTTGTGAAACATGTGTGCATGCATATCCTGAATTACCCACAAATTTCATAAACTTTTGAATCGCTAAATTTTCGAAACCGTAAACTTTCGAACCCGTAATGGAACAAGGTTGAGATAGAGTGCCAAAATGAAACATAAGAAATAGAGTTGGAGGGCTAAAATTGAACAAGATTGAGATAGAGTGCCAAAATGAAACATAAGAAATAGAGTTGGAGGGCCAAAATGGAACAAGGTTGAGATAGAGTGCCAAAATAAAAAATGAAGCTAAGTTCAATGGGTTGTCTATGTATTTGGCCAAGCAAGTATGTATACGCGCTGCATTTTTACGTCGGATAATAGTTTTTGTGTTAAAGTGAAACATAAGAAATGGGGTTGGAGGGCCAAAATGGAACAAGATTGAGTTATAGTACCAAAATAAAAAATTGGGCCAAGTTTAATGGGTTGTCTATGTATTTGGCCAAAAATCTATTTATAGTACAAAGACTATTACAAAGAAGAGTAGGAGAAGGACAATAATACGGTGAAAACAAAAAGAGAAGAAAAGAGGATGGCATAAATAAAAAAAAGGAAAATAAAAAGGTTAAATTAATGAAAGATAATTTTGAAAATAGATATTTTGTCTTTAAAAAGTTAGTTTTCTACTTCAACTTATTCTGTTTCTTCGAAAAAAACTAGAATTGCTTTTGATTATGCTAAAAAGCACTTTTCCGTCTTGGCCGGACACCTCAATATCCAAAAAAATTATTTTTTCAGGAAAAATACTTTTGACGCCCAGAAGTTTGACCAAACAAACTATAAAATGGGAGTCCATGTATAGCCGTGTTGTTGGCTGATCCTCCTGCCAAGTTTGTTGAAATACCACTCTTGACCTATTGTGATATTATTCTACCGGATATATGAAGTTTAATTTAAAATGTTAGTTATTTGATTTTGATAGGTATATAAGAACAAAACTGTTGGTCAATTAGCCATCTGTAGGATGGGTTACTGCTGTATACAATAGTTTTTTCTTCAGCTCTAGTCTAGACAGATTAGCGTTCTTTCTTATTGGACAGACTTGAAGAAAGAAAAAGGAAAGGGCAAAAAAGAGTAGAAGATCCATTAGTAGAAACTTATCAGCATCCGAGTGTTTATATCAAATTTTATGTACTTATCACGATTAAGTGATTAATAATGTGAAAATTAAATAATCATAATTAAGTGGAAAAAAATGTAAGTGCAAACACATGTCATGCATGTATATAACATTTGACTCCATTTTAGTGGATGTAAAGAACAATTTGATTCTGATTTTATTTGGAGTCACTTGATATTTTGTTTTTGAAAAAATTGAAAGAAAAAAATGTTAAAGATTAACTACAAGTCGTATAAAGATTACTAATCAGATGTTAATTTACTTGTACGATTCCTGCTCTTCCTCTCACAAAGTGACAAAACTAACTAATTAGTCGATTTCACTATCATATTTTACAGAGGTGGGCCTTCTCAAAATTTGTAGAAAGCCATATAAAACACAAACTGGGGCTTGCAAAACATGGAATGGTACCAGATCATAGTTTCTTAAGCGAATTGAGTTCATGTTCAGTTTCTAAAGTGCCAGAGGGCTTCTACGACAGAGTTGAGGAAGGAAGTATCAAACTCATCAAGAAGAGAATTTTGGATTCTCTAAAGAAGGTATCGTTCTCGAGGTCGAGGGTCAGGCTGAACCAATAAAATCCGACTTAGTCATACTCGCTACTGGCTTCAAGGGAATTGATAAGTTCAAACACATTTTTGAATCACCAAAATTTCAGGAATTCTTAACCGGCTCAGATGAATATTCTGCACTTCTCCTCTATAGGTGAGTAATAAATTAAATTAAAAAGGCTTGTGCAGCGGTAATTAGAATTCTTATATATTTTCAGGGAATGCATTCATCCCCGAATACCACAACTGGCAATAATTGGATTCTCAGAAAGCGTATCAAATCTATACACCTCGGAAATAAAGTGCCGTTGGCTGGGAGAGCTTCTTGACGAAACATTTAAGGTACCTAACATTAAGATAATGGAGAAAGACATAGCAGAATGGGATAAATACAAGAAGAGATATTCATATTTGAACAACTACAGGTACAGGAGATCATGCATATTTGGTACAATGACCAATTGTGCAGAGACATGGGATGGAATCCTAAAAGGAAAAAGGGTATTTTAGCTGAGTGGTTCCATCCTTATGGACCAATGGATTACGCCGGCTAACATATAGTATAAGAGTATCCTCGAGGTCTTCTTTCATCTGTTTCTCGTTTGTATTCAAAATCCTACTGTACTTTTCTTCTTTTCCTTCGCGTTGATGGCCCGGTGCCTTAAGCTTAATTGTCGCTCTTTTATCATTGCTTTCGCAAATTAAATAAGCTTGTGATCGATCCATCTTTGGAAGCCCTTCATTTATATATTTATAGTAGCTTGACGGTCATAGTGGCTCAGCTTTATGAATCTCTACTGAGTGATATATATTAATACGTACTACGTAGTATGAGTTATCATATGACAAGTCACCAGTGAGGTTTCACTATATGATAATTTTGGTATAAACATTGAGGGTTGGCATAGACATCAAAACATTAAAAAAGTTCAGACACTTGTCCAAATCTTTCCTCTAAATTCCTTTGAAGTTGCGACACTTGTGTGCGTACGTCCAAGTTTGGGGTAGGTACGTACATTTGGAGTTCAATTGTGTTAGGCCCAGTGTAAATTAAATGGGTTTTATTGTTTAAGACCAGATAGCCTCTTGGATGTGTGGCACTAATTGCAATTTGCAAGTAATCTCAAGGCTAGTTAGGAGTTAGAAGGTTAGGACGTCTCAACACAAAGGTTGCTATCAAGCACACAAAAGAGTGATTTAGCTTAAACAAAGTGAAGATTGAGGTAGAATTTCAGTTGAGACAAAAACGCTAAAATTTCTTCCAATTTAATTTGCCTAAGTTTTGTTGGACATAGTTATCAGTACCTCCATTGATATGTGTTAACATGTACTCACTGGAATAAACTGATCTAGACATCAACTATTATTAAACTAATCTTCAACCGTCCAGTAATCTAAAGCTGATGTGATTATATAAGATTCTGAGTTTTCCTTCCCAAAGCATATATATATATACTACAGCTGTCAGATCTTATAGGTCGTGCTTTTGAATGCATGCTTCAGAAATCATTAAAGTGTTGCTTTCGTTGTGCAGTAGGAGTCTTTAATTCCTATTACCTATGTAACCCCAGCACCCCCCTATAAATTAAAAAATTCGATCACGAGGACGACTAGATATGTTTAAATACCCCCTTTGGCGCGGAGTCTCGAACCAAAATGTGGTTCTTTTGGAGTTAAAGAACAAAAATGTGTGAAAAATAAATATAGTGACCAAAATATATATAACGCCCTTTTAAAGTGCGTTATTCCTTAACGGTTGTTTGCTCGTTAAAGTATAACGCTCTTTTAAAAGGTACTATATATATAACGCCTTTCCTTACCGCGCTATACATATTATGTGGGCCCACCAATAATTCTTTTGGGCTTAACTGACATAACAATAATTTAACTGGGTATAACGCCCTTATTTAAAGCGCTATACCTAAAACAATTGTACCCCGTCATTGGTTTTTGCCTTATTTAAAGAGGTTAAGGATTTTCTAAAAATTCATTCACAAATATTCTCAAGTCTTCTAAAATATTTCTTCGTTAAGTTATTTTGTATTTTGTCATAATGTCTAAAGAGCGAAGAATAATGATTTCATTATATTGGAGGGGGGAGAGGGGGTGAGGTTGTGATGGCGAATAACTCAGTAACATATAGTTTATCTCCACAGTGTCATGTTAAGTTGCCACTTACAATGGAGTACGATACATTGATATCGTTGTTATGTAAAAAAAAAAAAGAGTGTGAGCAAACGTTCGGTGAACCTTAAAGTAACCGGAAGATATCTGTATTCTTTCACTCTGCAAAGGGTTGCTTGTTATGCCGAGTTTAACATCGAGGACGATGAAACTCTGAGAGATTTTTTGAGGACTTCGGATGAATACCGGGTATTTCTTGTGATAAAAATGTTGGAAATGTACGTCAAAGTCGAAGAAGTTCGCAATAATGTGGTTGCGCAAAGTAGGAATATCCTTCAGTCATCGAGTGGTTATTTTGGAGTAGTTTTAGCCGAACAGATTCCGACTGAAAGAGTTTGGCCTGATCTAAACTTATCTCCACGGGCGAATAAGGAGCGATGAAATAATTTCTCTCCTAGTTTACATAATCCACAAGACGAGTGGTAAACTTCAATTTTCCTTTGTATTACGATATTTATTTTTGCTGTATTGAATTTGTATTAACACTCATATATTCCACAGAGGGTACCGACCATATATGAATTTTACAAGTTATGAACCAACGCCCAGTTGGAATATGCCTAGTTCTGGCGGTCCTGTCCTTACTCAATTGCGCGAATACGATATATTTAATCAAGATCTGGCAGATGCACAGAGTCAGGAAGAGGATAGTGATTATAACAACAATGCCGATTAGTCTGCAGATGACATACCCTTCCCTGATGAGGGTGATGATGAGGAGGAAGAGAATGCTGGACCTGATTTGACGAGGGTGCATGCTCCACCCCCCGTTAGACTAAGAGTGTACGAGTCCCACGTGTTGTTTCATTCAAGGGAGATTCCCAACCTTGATCATTTGCCAAGTATGTCGGATATGTATGCCCTCACAAGGGATATTAACGAAATTCGGACAACAATGTGGGATGAATCTAGAGCAACGGTGCTGTCAAAGGGCATACTTTTTCCCGATAAAGCGCGCCTAACCAGGATGGCGCTAATGTACAGCGTAAAAGAGTGTCGTGAGACCACGGTACGCGAGTCATCTCCAGATATATATAAGGTAGTCTGCCGTAGATGGTTTACGAGTTGTAATTGGATGCTGCGTGCGAGGAAGAAGAAAACAAATATGTACGTTGTGGGTAAATACATTGGCACCCACAATTATGAAATGGACACATTCAGTGGGAATTATTTTAACTTGAGTGTTGACTTTATTTCTCTTGTCTTGATTTCACATATTGAAACGTCCATAAGGTACAAGATCAAAGAGTGTATAACATCCGTCCACCAGGAATATGGGTGCACCATTACCAAAAGAAAGGCATTTCTCGGGCGCAAACGTGCATTTGAAATTATTTATGGTAATTGGGATAAATCCTTTGCATCTCTACTCAGGTACATGGCTGCATTGGAGCACTTTAACCACGGGATTGTTATTGAATGGAAGCTTGAGCGGAGTCCGGGAATACCAGAACATATATTCAAATATGTGTTCTAGCATTTAAACTAGCAATTGATGATTTTCTGCATTGTCAGCCGGTAATATCCATAGACGACACTCATGTCTATGGAAAGTATGATATTAAGTTGTTGATCGTCGTTGCAGTAGATGCTAATGGAAGTATATTTCCCTTAGCTTTTGCTATTTGTACCAATGAAAGCCAAGAGACGTGGGAACTATGTTTGAACCACTTGAAAAAGCATGTTATCAAACAACGTTCAGGTATTTGTCTAATATCTGATAGCATTATTGTCACGCCCCGAACCTAGGAGCGAGACCAGCACCCGGTGCCTCACCTAACTTGGCGTACCA